CCGGCTGTCAACCAGTACCCCCAGGTCTTTTTCTGCCAGGCAGCTTTCCAGCCACTCTTCCCCAAGCCTGTAGCGTTCCATGGGGTTGTTGTGACCCAATTGCAGGACCCGGCACTTGGCCTTGTTGAACCTCATACAGTTGGCCTCAGCCCATCAATCCAGCCTGTCCAGATCCCTCTGCAGAGCCCTCCTCCCCTCAAGCAGATCAACACTACCACCCAGTTTGATGTCATCTGCAAACTTACTGAGGGTGCACTCGATCCCCTCATCCAGATCGTCGATAAAGATATTAAACAAGACCGGCCCTAGAACTGAGCCCAGGGGGACACTGCTTGTGACCGGCCGCCAACTGGATTTAACTCCATTCACCACTACTTTCTGGGCTTGGCCATCCAGCCAGTTTTTAACCCAATGAAGAGTACACCCATCTAGGCCATGAACTGCTAGCTTCTCCAGGAGAATGCTGTGGGATGAAGTATTTTCAGTCTAGAGTATATAAAGCTGGGAATACAGATTTACATTTAGGTATTTTACAAGTGCCCAAAAGGAGAGGTATTGATCATATGTACCAGATTCTCTGCTAGTTGGTTTACAAGAAGTTATGACAAACGGGTGTAAATCAAGATGCTATTTGATAGTGTACCGTCTGTTTAAATCACTCACAAATAGTTTTGCATCACAAAACAATTTGCCTCCTGAAAAAATGTTGTCAATGTGTTCTTTATACCTCCTCATGGTTTGATTAGACCCTAGCTTTTTTTGCAGGGTGTGAGTGGCTTACTAAATATTTATTGCCATTTGATTGTGAACACGTGCTGCTATCGAAGCATCCTGGTGTATAACTTCTTAACAGTTTAAATACATCAAATCAATAAATTTGCTTCCTCTATATAGACCTGCGTTTTATATCTGAAGGTTAACACTCTTCTGAGAGTCATTAAGGCATAAATAAAAAAGGAGACTTTACTGTGGCTTTATATGTGACACAAACATGGTCTTCTAAACTTAGACTATACAGAGGATTCTTAGTGTCACTTGAGGTTTTTATTTTCTTTCTTAACATCTTGTCATTCTCAAACTGTTCTGTGTTTCTTTTTTCCTGTCTGTAAATAGTATGTCTTCTTTTAAGTTTGGAAACTAGTACTTTTATGATGAAAGCATATTTTACTATAGATGCCCTTATAGCTCGTTACATTAGTGGTGCTATTGAGACAGTCTGATCTGTCATATAAATTTTCATGTTGCACAGTAATTCAGGATTACAGTCAGCTTGCTTTCTCTTCCGGATAGCCTTAAGCACATTCACTGCTCCATGTAGTCTGCAATTTTTAGGTATAGAGCCAAACACACTGGAAGTGTGTATTGCTAAAATAGGTCGTGGTATTGCTGTTCTGAAGCTACCTCAAGCTGGAACATGTCCAGAGGAGAGCAACAAAGCTGGTGAGGGATCCAGAACACAAGTCTTATGAGGAGTGGCTCAGGGGACTGGGGTTGTTTGGTTAGCGGTTGGATTTGATGATCTTAAAGGTCTTTTCCAACCTAAACAATTCTACGATTCTAATATCGTCACTTACTTCTCCAGTAGGAAAGATGACCCTATGATAATGGAGTTCACTGGGGAAATATAAGTGAGATAAGGAAACTTACTGTTCATGGAGTTTACAATAAGAATGTTAGTTATATAAGACTTGGAATTTCATTTAGTAGGCTACTGGTATGAAGATTTTAATTTACTTGACTTAAGTAATTGAGGTGTACTTGGAACTTGTATTAAGCAAGGAGGGAGACACCTTACTCTGAAAATAATTTTGAGGGAATAGATTTAAGATACATAGAAGATACAGCATTAACACTCAATAATAAATAAATAAAACTGTTCATATGCCTTTGATGAATTGTGCCCTTTCTTCTGCATCTGTTGAATGTTATCCAATGGCAAATCCTGAAGAAATTCGCAGTATGAAGCCAAAAGGAAAAATTTGGTGTTGTCTCTTCCTATCCACGCTCCCCTTCCTTCCTCCTTCACATTTACCTATCAAATATTTATATGCTTGCATCACTGACCACCTGCAGCATGAGCTGCAGTTCTGTTACCACTTACAGACAGAAAACATTTCAGCAAGATGATTGACTAATTGGCAGTATCCAGCTGAGACAGAGTAAGGGCAGAACATAATGTACAGATGAATGTGTAACAACAGTTAGTCCCAGGGGTGTAGCAAATGCTAGTTTTAGGTGACATTTGTAGTTTGTTTTTTAAATAATAGACAGATAATCTTGGTGAAAAAAAATATAGAAGTTGTTTTAAATGAAGACAACAAATCTCTGAATCGCTGTTTTTGCAGATTACAGGGTGATCATTGTATAGTTGATAATGTAATATCTACTCCTATTCTTAGTTTTAATTTGAGTGTGTTATACAGAGAATTACTGCTCTCAAACAAGGGTTAAAAAAATCTGAATACTTTTATACAGTATTTGCTTGTTTAATTTTATTACTGTACTACATGCTGTATTTTTAAAAATGTGTGAAGTATTTCTAGCAGTATGCAAATATGTGCCTAGCAGCAGTTATTTTTAGTGAAAGTACTTTTAGTGTAGAATTGATAGACCTTCTTTGCACTCCAAATCAGATTTCAATAATTTTTTACTGTTCAAGAAACACTTAATTATAAAAGTCCTTTTCTAAAAGGAAAAGGGATTTACTAGTGCATGCTGGTTTTAGACTACATCAGATGGATGTTAATTGCACTTTGCTCATTATAAATTGAAGCATAGTATGTGATGCAGTTCGTGCTTCCTGGCTAGAAAATAATCTGTTTAGTAATAATCAAACAACATGGAATGACAACTCTTGCATAGAAAGAAACATGTCTGGCAGTGTGTTTTTCATGTGACTACTCAGCATTATTACTCCTTGGAGATCAACAGTTTCTTGATGAGCTAGTATTTTCTGTATGTTCACAATACGTCTTACTTAATCCTTTGCTCTGTGTTCCACTGCGGTACAAAGCAGTCTTGTTGTCAGTGCCATTGTTGATCTCTTTGCAGCATCCCAGTATTCACTGGAAATATCTGGGATTTTTAGTGATTATGAATTAGATTAGAGCATATTGGTTTTAATTTAATAAAGTTAAGAAATAAGGTATGGGTATAATTCTGCTTTTAATATGTTGATTGTATGCACTATTGTGTTTTGAAGTACTTTAATACTATTTTTTTTTTAAAGTCACAGCAGTAATATTGGAACTGTTGACTGTGCTGTAAGGGTGACTTGGCTAGTTACATTTCTGTAAACATCACAACCTAACTGGGCTGGTTTTGCATTAAATTAGAACTCACATTTATTAATGAGTTCTGGGTTTAGTTTCTTTGTACTGGGAATTTTTTTTAAGAGGTGATAGCAATGGATGTTCCCAGAGGTACTCAGCAAAATTAATGAATTCTTAAATTTGAAGATTAAGAAAGAATAGAATTCACTTGAAACTTAAAAAAAAAAAAAAAGAGTGAGTGTAATTCAGTTTGCCAAAATAGCAGTTTCATCTACAAGGAGTGTGTTTTGACCAAACTTAAATGGTTTGTTACCCCTCTTGGAGTCATTCCTTCCTCTCAGCTAAATTAATGTTTACAACTCTCTGACAAGGTCGTGCTACTGCCATAATGATAAATGATTTACTAATGACACTTCAGACTTATTTACATGGTTGAATGTGTTTGAATGCTTTCAATGTGCTGAACCCTGAGGATCTCTTTTCCCTTTTTTCTAGCAAGACCTCATGACTTCTTTGATGCACAAACACTGGATGCTATAAGACATCGAGCCATCTGCTTTAACCTCTCAGCACATATAGAAAGTTTAGGAAAAGGCCACAGTGTTGTATTTCATAGTACTGTAAGTATATATAGTATGTATTCTGTTTGTTTACCTATGTGTCTGAAAAATCTAATAGAATATTTCTATTTTCCTCTTACTGCTGTAGACGTAATAAGAAATAAGTAATAGTGGGTATTTTACATTGTTGATTTGTCCATTTCTATTAGTAAATTAACTTTTTAAAAAGTAGTTTTAGTAGTTATTTCCTGTCTGATACACTTTGGAAAATATCTAAAAGCAAGTATGTGTTGCAGAAAAATTTGGTTATAGCTTCTAAATAGAATGCAATTCAGATGGCGTTTCCATAGTTGTAAGTGACAGTGCTGATTTATCACAAGAAATATTTTGAGGGTAATAGTATAATTGAACGATGCTGATCTGAAACTTATGTTTATTCCTTTTTTTTTCAGTTTAAAAAAATATAATCCTGAATAAATGTATTGTTTCTTTTAATAATTTCACCACCAAAGTGTCAGTGAATTGCTAGAAGGAGGCGAGTACCAGGTGGGGAACTGGTCTTTAGTCCTGTTTCCATATCTTATTTTGTTAATTTCAGTTGTTTGTGGATAGGCTAAGACATCAGTATTAATCATTATTAATAAAGTTCAAACCAGTGGGAGAAGAGTACTGAATTGGGGTATAGGGATCAGAAGTTCAAAAAGCTATATAACCTCAGGTTTTCTTAACCAAATTGGGAGATATGGGCACGTAGAAGATAGAGACTCAGCTGAAGAACTAAGAGATGGGACAAAATGGGGAGGGGGTTGCTTTGTAAATTAGCAGACTAGTGCAAGATGAATGGCAGTCCAAGAAAGGAATGCTGACTGCTCCGTATTCAGCTATGGCTTACCCTTAACACATGATTCAAACTACTGAACTGTCAGTCTCTTTCCATAAATAAAAGATGATTTTTATATGCATGAAACTTATTTCGTCCTGTTCTACAAGACTGATGATTGTTATAAATTATATCTGTGGCCTGTATTAGAAATTTTTTCCAAATGGTTACTCTTGAAGTTTATGTTCATTGAACACCAGCTACAAGTGGAGATTTGCAGGTGGCTTAGCTGTTATTCCATTTAAATCTCTCTCTAGTTTTCCTGGCCAACACGTATTTTTACAATGCTGTGAGAAAAGCAGATTCTCTTCCAATTCACAGCTTGCTTTAATCTGAAACATCATCCAGACAGACTGTTCTGTTGTGGAAGCTCACCTTTGGCTATTGGAATTATTCATAAGGAGATGGAATTAGAGGGAGGAATGTGCTCTAAAACTGCTTCGAATTAACTTGGAGGAAGCGGTGAAAATCCTTTTAGCTTATTCATGCATGTGTCACTCGAGATGGTAGGCAGTTGATTAGATCTGAAATTGCTTATACCTCAGTTGTGGGAGAGGTTTTAGCAGTGGCAGAACTGTTCTAAGATTCCAACCCTATGCTGTACTTTGCTAACCTATTTTAGCATGCTGCTACAGTTGTGGGGGCTTGTGCTGGATATCAGCTGTATTGATGAGACTCAGCCAAAAATCTGCTTTAAAAAGAGAAGGTAGAATAGAAGCAGTCTTGAGGATGTACGCTGTTATACTGAGCTAATGGTTGCCTCAGATGCAAACACATTTTGCATAACTAAAATATACTAAATATAGGTATTACAACATTGAATTTGAATGGTGACTGGCTAAATAGCTTAATACAGTTTGTGTGGTCCACCTTCACGTGAAGAATAAATGTGTAATTATTGGGACATTAATTTGAAAGGTGAAAATATAAAGATAAAATTGTCTTGCTCTCTGAAAACTGGATATCCTAGTGAAAAAATACTAATGTGAGGAATTTTTAAGCAGTCATTGTAGATATCTTTAATCTCCTATGAAAAGGCATTCATTTATATAGATACATATTTTTTAAGCCCATCTTTATAAATATAGAAAGCTGTAGAATGCAGTCATCAATAAAGCCTTTTTGAAGAAGGTTTTGCCATCCAGAGTTCACCTTTGACTTCACTGTGAATTTTTTTTTTGCTTAGATTTTTTTTTTTTTTTTTTTATTGGAGTCCAATTCTTAGCTTTGATTCTCTGAATTGTCAGGTGGAAAAAGTCAGGCATTTCCATTTAACCTAAATAGCAAATATTACACTAATTAAAAAATGCAGCTTATAGGTTACCCTGTCTTCCTCTCCCTGCCCCCCCCTAGTTTTAAAATGGCTAGATTTGATTCTCTAAAATATTTGAATACTAAACAGTTTTTCACTGGCTTCAGGGTTTTTACATATTTCAGTTCAGTGATCACATGTATTGATGTTACCTGTGTTTTGAAATCTTAAAACTGAAAAACAGTAAGTGAATCAAGAAAGATACATACCTATTTATAGGGTGAAATTTTTTTCTTTTTCCAGAAGAGGTCAGCAGAACTCCATTTGTGATTTGAGACAACTGTGATGTATGGTTCCTTCACAGAGATAAATTCAAATTAAATTTCCCTTTTTTTCAGATAAAGCTGTACTGAACATACATCTATGGGCTGAACTATATTTTTAAATGAAAAACTTAAATGGACTCGAGTTCTTTACAAACAGTTTTAAGTCTTCAGGGCATCATTATTGCAGACATGCTAGATTTCTTCCATTTCAATTGTAACTTTTGCAGACTTGACGGTAAAGCTCTGATTGCTTCTGTCAAAATAACAAATTTTTTTTTTTTTTTTTTCCAAATATTTGCAATTTTGCATTTGTCTGCATCATAGTTGTGTTTACCATATCCTAGGCAGGCTAGAGTCAAAATTTTCATTCTATGTATAGAATCTTTCAAAGATTTAATAAGCATTTTATGCTCAGAGGTGGAGAAGGTGGAAGAATGGTGTTTGAAGCAAATAAGAAAATCTGTATGAAGTATTGTGATGTGTAATAAAGGAGAAGCTGAGGGTAAATCAGTAGAAGAGGAAGGAAACAGTTTTTCCCTTTTTTTTCTTGATACTGTAAATTTTTTTGGATACCTTTTGAATACTGGTGTTAAAGAATATATTTGTACCTGGATGAGCAGATTTATTTTTTATAATGAGATTTTTATAATAATGAGAAAGGAGTTCTCGCTTCTTGTGTGGGACTTTACTAGTGGAATACATGTGTTCTGCTTAAACTCTATTATCGACAGGTCTTTGAAATGTCATTTGATCTGCCATTCATATAGCAATAGTAGCAAATGTACTCTCTACACTGTTAAAGGTCCCCATTATGTATGCATTAAACAATTTCTGTAAGCCTGTGAGTTCTTCGATGTAGCCTTTGCCGCTGCCTCATTCAGTGCTTGGTTTAGGTATTGAAAAGGATTGAGTAGAGGTTACCTAGGAAGTTATAAGTACGATGCATCCAGATGTCAAAGCATTTGTGGGAGAAGGTTTTATTCTTATGCCATTCTATAATTAAACTATAAGCTGTATCTCTTTCTTGCATCTTCTATAGATGTCTTGTGGAACAGTATGAGTGTATTTGTAGAGGAATGTGTGTTCTTCAAAGCTTTTGGACTAGCTGCTTAAAAATTTGAACTACTTTAAAACAAAGACGACTACTTACTTTTTTTTTTTTTCCAGGGACCACTCAGTAAGCAAATGTTAAAGGAAAATATTAAACCTTGCCAAGAATGGCTTGAGTAGCGATATGTATATTCTACCTATATATAGAATTAATACAGCTTTCAAAGAGTAAAACAGTTTGCCTTGTATGAATGTCCAGTTGAACATGAAGAACAACAGGTTTTGAGCAAAAACTCTGCAGATTTGGTTTTAATTATGATTTATGTAATTGTTATCAGGTAATAGCTAAAAGAAAAGAAGATTCTGGAAAAATAAAACTCTTGCTTCATTGGACACCAGAGGACATGTGAGTATTTTGCTAGTGATGATATAGGTTTTAAATGGGGAAGGATTTACAGTGGGGTAAATAAAATGTCTGTCACTAAATTATGTTATGCTTTTGAATATTTAAGTTAAAGTTCATGCTTTAAAAATGCTTTTTAAAAAGTGATTTAGAAGTTTATAAAATAATAAGCAATGCTTTCATTGATTTTAATTTAGCTTTCAAGTCTTTAGACTGATAACAATTTAGGTAAATTTGAAGCTACATTTTTGATGCATTTTTGTCACTGATTATTAATAAACAAGGTCCTCTAATTATTGAATGAGGAGTTCAGGTTGTTTTTTCCAGCCATATACGTAAGGAAATTTATCACAGAGACTACTTTTGTTTTATCCACTGGTTCATCATGATCCTAAAATGCTTTTAGGTATTGAAAAAAGTACAATTATCAGTAACGGTAGAACCAAGAATCTTTGCTTAGGTGCCACAATTTAACAGTATAATAACCACAGTTGGCCCTTTAAGGTATTCATATCATATTGCTGCTGCTTTGGATTCTCCCACTGAAGCTTGGAATAATCTTCCAGCATGTTTGGCTGCTTTTTTCTCTTGGTCTTTCAAAGTTCTGTCTTGTTCTAAGTGAGTAGCCTTGTGTGTAATGCAGGATGAAGTTACTGCCCTTGGGTAGGCTTGGGACATATGAAGTAGTAAGTGTACTTTAGAACTAATTTATTTAGTTTGAAATAGCTGAGATCTCATCTTTCTTTTGACACAGAAAAGAATTTATATGTAAATATTTTAATCTTAATTATATGGAAAAGTAGAATAAATGTTTGTTTTCCACTATGCTGTAGGAGAGCAGTAGGCAGAGTAGTTTTAGGAGAGGCAGTAGCTGTATGCTCAATGTTTTCCACAAGTTTTAAGGCAATTAACTACTTTTCCTTTTAAAGATAAGAATATTTGTAATAGTATGGATCCAAGAAATAAATTCTCCTGCATACAGATAAAGTTACTGGGACCTTTTGTTCACGTTAAGATGGAAGTTACGGAGACATTTAGTTGACACTGAGATGAATAGCTGCATAATTAGGTAGGGCATGTGGGTTTAGAGGCTCTTTCTTATAAGACACTTCAGTTCTACCAGGAAGATATCTCTAAATTGGTAGAATTCATTAGGTAAGGATACAGCAATTTCAGATTAAATAGTCATAGTTCCTACAATTAACTTTTAGAATAAGTGGGTCTCTTAGATTCAGTGCTGCTTTTAAGCGATTGAGTGGGATGGTGATGCAAAGTCTTAGCGTAACAGAAATTTACCTTTGCTTTTCTGAAGTGGTTTGAATTACTCAGTTTTGTAATGTCCCAAATCAGTCATGTGCAGTAGTGTGAACTTGGCAGTGTGAATCTATTATAACTATTACTTGCAGAGGACTAGGGTTGCTGATAAGTTACTTGTGGCAATGTTTGGCATTTTGATGCCATTTTAAAGTGTCCGTAGCTTTTGCTGTTCATTACAGCACTTGTAAATGGCAAGTTTCAATTCAGCTTGGGAGAGAATAACTAAAATACTCTAGTAAAAAGTGTAGGTTTTTTCTTCCTTTTAGGACAGTTGGCAATACCATATGTGATAGCATTCTGAAATTATTCTTATTAAAATATTACAGATAAAGACAGTTAATGGCATTTTAAGATAAAAAGCATTAAAAAAGCAGAACACTGGGAACATGAAAAGTAAATTTAAAAAAAACCTACTTTTTTACTAATACATAGTAGAATGATTTTTTTTTTTTTTTTTTTTTGCTCATGCAGATGAATACAATATTAGAATCTCTGCATTGGAGAAGACAAGTTATTCAATAATGTTAAGACACCCCCGACAGAATGTAGATTTGGTTAGTCAGGTCAAAGAAATAAGGTGGTTTACATTGATATTTCTTGCATCTTGGTTAGGTTAGGTAGAGGGTGTATTTCCTGCACTGAATGATGTAGTTTTGAATTAATGAGTATTCAGTAGACTCAATTTTTGTTATTAGAGTTAAGAACAGCAAATGCGAGGTATCATGGCTCATGTCCACCTGCCTTAAACAGTGAATGTACTTGAACTTTAGAAAAGTTGAATGCAGTCATGATGATTACTTTCTGTTGTGCTGAGCTGTTATTACTAGCTCCATCTGAAAGGCTTATTAATGATTTAACTTTTCCTGCTCTAAGTCATCTTGAGAAAATGTTAAACTGCTCTAGGGTCTCTGTACATTAACTATTTTTTCAGGAATAGTAAATAGTATTCTTTAACCCATTTCCTATACAAGAGGGAAATAACTGTTAAATCTTTTTTTAGAGCAGGAATTTATTCTTTATGTCAGTACTTCTTAGCTTACTGAGTTGTTGTCTTTATGTATATTGCAAGTAGTCTTTGCATGTGAAGTTTTATTTGCTGTTTGTATTGTTTTGCATCTTCAGCATATATTTCTACTAAAAGTGTCTCCCAAATGTTGCTTTCCAAAAAAACCCCAAACATTTTGGCTTTATTTAAAAAAAAAAAACAGAACACTTTATGCTGTTTTTTCATGTTTCATGATCTGTATTAAACATTAAGACAGATGGATTGCCTCCTAGGTGGTCCATGTCCCCTGTCCTGTTTGGGTACCACCCCCACCCCCTCCTTTTTGTTTTTCCTTCCACCTTCATATGAAAAGGGAAGAGTATCATCGGAGAAACTCCTTTTCTTACTGAGATAGAAGTTCTCAGTTTCATTTAAGAGAGATCATTAAGTCTCTTTTAATGTGTTACATGAAAACCTCAGCAGGGCCTTAATAATCCAATGCGCTTTCAGTAAAAGAAGCAGCAATGCAATAAGCCACTCTGAAGTAGACATGTTTGGTTTCAAAGAATTTAAGTACAAAATGTAGAACAATTATGTTATCTCCAGCCATCTTCCCCAAGTTTCACTGCAAGTGGCAGCAATAATTCTCTTCAATGTATAAAGCCAAGTTTTATTCCATCTCACAATGAGAATTTTACATAGCCAAAATATTTTGTGGTGATTGCCTGGATTTGCTCAGAAGAAAATGGAACAATTAGCTTTAGCAAAGTTGGAGCATTTTGACATTGAAAGCTTTGAACTTGGAGCAAGCAAATTAGTGTAACTTGAAGCTCAGTGCTTGCAGTATATTCTGGCCTTTACTTAATTTTTTGACAGCATCAAAGAATTTTATGCCTGATAAAATAAAGTATTTCCAAAGATCTGGGTGGTTTTTATTTTTTTTTCCCCACTATTGATTTTCAAATTAAATTGTTAAAATGGAGAATGTAGTGTCATTATCATTGTTTGGTTTTGTATTCTTCTAGAATAATCTGCATTCTGTTTAGTGTCTTTTTCACACTGAGAACTTGAAAAACTTTGAAATATAATGTGTAAAGATTGGCTGTCTTTTCCTCACTCCAGTGAAGATGCTTTTTAACCAGTGAAATGTGAAGATTACTTAAAACACTTCATATGTACTAGTTTACCACATGATTTTATGGTAAGAAAAACGGTTGATCTTTTTTGAATATTTTTATTTTATTTATTTATTCATAGTCTGCCTGATGTGTGGGTAAATGAAAGTGAGCGACATCAGTTAAAAACTAAAGTAGTTCATTTATCAAAACTACCAAAAGATACTGCCTTGCTTCTGGACCCAAACATATACAGGTAATGTCCTAATTTTGAAACTTTCTTTACTTACAGTCTTAAGCCTCACTTAACTTTTAGACGTTGGAAAATCAGGATTGCTAATGCATTATGCACCAGACCAGGGAGCCTCAATCCTGTCAGCGTCCAGGAGTTAAGTTCTGAGGTCTTAAGTTGTTTCACAATTACTTAACTTCTTGAACTGAACTCTAGTTACTGAGAAACGGGGAATATGTGTATTTACCAAGTGTATTTTACTTTTTTGTGCTTGGTGTACAGAAATTCTAGTAAAGGAGGTACATACAGTGGAATCCTGAAAGATCACTTCTGTTAAGATCACATACTGGTTTGTATACCAATTTTTTTTTAAAGTCCAAATTTATCTTTACATATTTTATATTCAACTGTAATACATGCAGTATTACCTTGAAATCTGTACTTGTGTACAAGTACTGTTATATTTTTTAATACAAGATTCTTTAGAGGGGGACAATACATGTTACTTGTCTTTAAGCTGCATTCACATTTGTGTTTTTAGGACTTCAGATTGGCTTCTAATCCATCTTGTTTCTAATAATTTCCTGATTTTTTTCCCCCCCCTCTTTATTAGTGTGCTCACGTAATTGTCAGTACCACCCACAGTTCTGTGTGTGCACAGTTTTTAAAGGTAATCTGAAATGCTTAATTCACTCTTAAGTTTTTGGACATCCAAAGATACATATTCATGGGCTTATATTAAAAATTTATGAAAGCAGGTCGGAAAGGAAAAAAAAGATTATTCTGCCAGAACAAAAGTTCAGTGTTCCTATGTTTCTTCTATAACATCCAGTGACATAGCATCTAAAGAGTAACTAGAACACTAATATGAGGTCTTGATATGCAATAAGCCTTTCAGTTCACCTTTAATATTCAGTGTATTTCACTAATCAAATTAATGAAAACTTGGTTTACAATATGAAATGAAATCATCATACTGTATCTGCTATCTTTGTAAATGTAAGTATTTAAAATACTTACTTTAGTATATGAATTACTGATGTTAACAGTAAATCATAAAAATGCTATGAGGAAATTGAATTGTGTGTTTTAGAATTGCTTAACACAGTGACTTTTATAATCTAATTTAGGTGTTAGTCATCTTGATACTGATTACCTTTGCAGAACTTGATAGATTAGTTTGATTTGAAAAGGAAAAAAACCCTTTTAAAATAAAAATGTAATAATCTTTGGGATTAGCTCCTTGGAGAAAAATAAGCAACCCTTTTTACCTCTCCCAAATAAAATTAAGTTCCCCTTGCATAACGTTGTACTAGATTTTTATCTGTATAGATTAGAAAGCGGTGTCATTAGAAAGAGCTTTGGGACCAACTGTGTGAGGTCAAAGAAATAAAGCTCAAGACCAAAACTTTGCAGGGGAAAAAAGTGGTTAGGGAAATTCAGTGACAGCCATTAATGTCACGCTAAAATGATTACTCCAATAGAAAGTTTGAAATAATTATCCGAAATGAATGCTAATATGGGATCATTTAAAATGTCTTTTAGTTTTAATCAAACTGAATGAAAGTAGATTTTACATAGTCATGATTTCATAGTATTCTCTAGCTGACTTGAATTTACCTTTCAGGGTCTTCATGTAAAACTGTACTATTTTCTTTTACAGAACAATGCCCCAGAAGAGGTTGAAGAGGTAAAAACCAAGCAAGTGGGGACACCTGCAGTCTTAGTCACTGACAATGGATTTAGAAATAAAGTTGCACATTAGTCAAATCCCATCTTTTTTTTTTTTTTCCTTAGATAAATATTTATGCTTAGTGTAAACATTCTGTGAATGAAGTTGATGCTTCCGTGGAATATATTAATATATTACTGTATATCCACATTTTCATGGAATGGTACAGTGGGAGACTGAGCAAACACTCTTCTGGCAACTTAGTGGAACAACTAAAAGGCTTTGCATGCTTGCTTCTTTAAGCTGCTTTTTTCTTTAGTGAATACAGTAGTTTATATTTGATGAAAAGAAAAAGTAACCATCACCATTTACTCACAATTCCCAGGAGAACAGTTAACAAGCTATTAGGCTTCTTGTCAATGCTAACTAAATATAACACATGCCAGACAATAAAACAGCTACCAAGGGATTATCCTGTTGCCCGTTGAGTATGGTGGATAGTAATAATTCGTCATTTGTAATCTCGTGTCCTTTTGCAGATCCCTAAAATATGTTGGATTATAATGTTTAAACAAATGTTGATGGAATGCTTGTCTTTTCCAATCAACTATGAATACATATAGTACGGTTTAAAGATGTTAAGAGTGTTGCAGTATGTCTGACCCCCTTTTCAGGAGTAGTATAGTATGTTAATGAGATCTGCTTTTATGTGATCCATATCAATGGACGGTTTTTGAAAAACCTCTACTTAAGCAGTTAGTGTTATTGGTGGTTTATTTTACTTTTTTTGACCCTTTAGGATCCCCATTCACTTGTAAAGTATACTTTTTTATTTGGCCTAATGTTTTCTAGATGTAAAGAAAATGGTATTTTTTAAAAAAAAAAATCTAGAAAATCAATCCTTTATGCACCAAAGTTGGCTTTGAGAAGGAAAGTAAAATCATTTTCTTGCTTAATAAGCAAGAAGCCATGGATTTTTTTAACTGACAAATAGAGATGTGTCTAACCTGTTAGTCTTTGTATGGAGACAAAAATGTTGCATATAGATAATAGGACATTGCTTGTAAATATTTCAGCAGATTTGTAATATATTTTTATATTATGAAATGTACTGTAGATGTTTTTCTAGAGGCATGAAAGTTAAAATGTATATATTACGGTAGAAATAATATTGAAGGATATTGTAATTCACTAGTGCTGCCAGAAGAATTGTTTAAAAAAAAGCACCTTCCTTAACAATAAAAAAACCTTCTTTTACATACCTAAGGGACTATATACTACTGTTAATATCTGTTGTAAGAACAAAAATACATTGAACATCCTTCCCAGAAATCTTAGAGGGATGAATAGTACCCATAATTAATTCATGGCACTCCTTTCTAATAGTGAACATGAAATTAGTTTTTTCCTTACTATTGGAAGGAACTAATATGTAAAATTTGTATGGATATATGCAGTCAAACTGCAGAGTTAGTCCTCCTTATTGGTGAGGAATTTACTACAGTGAAACTAATAACCAGCAGTTTTTACACTAAATTTTTATTAAATAGAATAAAAGTTAAAGCAACCCTTTGGCTGCAGAAGTGAGCATATTCTAATATAATACAAATGCATTCTGCATTGGTACTGACACGAGTGTCTTGCTTCGCTCCAATGGGTTAAAAATGTTACTTATATACACACAAAAAAAAAATCTTATCAAACGAAATGAAGTGCAGATTAAAAGCACCACTAATATAAGATGTTCTGGAATGGTTGTTTAATAAGGGTATTATTCATAAAATCTGTAGTGATGTGACTTTATTTTTGAAAAAATGCAGTGTTTTGGTTTTTTTTTTTTTTTTTGCTTGAGCACTTCACCTACTGCTTTTTCTGTACCTATAAAGTAATCCGTAATCTTTGTTTCTTTTTTGAATTTGTTATAAAATTGCCAAATAGAAGTGTTTCAGATATAGTTTGTATTTGTATTTTTTTAATTTTATTGCTTCATGAGTTTCTTGTAAGTCATTTATAATTGACAGATGATTGTAGACCTTGCCTGAGTATTTTTTCTAATAAAACAAAGCAAACAAACCTCATTAGCTTCAAAATTGTAAGATTTCAATGAAGTTTTCAAAGATAAATATAAAAATGTCACTATCTCTTTATTTCCCCTGTAAGTAGTAACATGCATACCTTTACACAATTGGGAATTTGTGGATTCAAATTGTGTTTTGTTCATGTGAACTGTGACTTTCTTTTCTTGGGTTTGAGAAAAGTCTTATCTGATGTTCTCATGGTACAGTTTCTGCCTTGGAGGGAAAAATCAGTTAAAATTCAAAATATCTGTGAACAAATGGATATATTGGAATTAATTCAACTGTCTACTGTAGTTAAAAGGTAAGTGGATTTTTGGCGGTTTTTTACCTTGAAGTTATCAAAGTCAATTGCTAAAAGTGTTTATGCTTGAAAAATCTCTGTACTTGATGGTTTTCAAGATCCAGACAAAGCCCTGAGCATCCTGGTCTGGATTCAGTGTTGTTAGTGTTGCACTGAGCAGGAGACTGGACCAGATGCTCCCTTGAAGGTCCCTCCCAACATGAATTATTCTGCATTTCTGTGATTCGGAACTAAGCTGGCTTGCTTTTGCGGCCCACGTGCTCAGGAAGGCATCAGCAGATGCCTTACATTTAGATCCTGTTAGCAAGGTGTTCATGGGTTCCCAGATAATGGTTAGAGTTGGAGCTGTTTGAACTGAAAACCAATCAGCTGTGGCAGTAATGTGGCTCTGGGGCTTTAAGTGTATGTTTTGGCCTACTGTATGCTTGAACCACACTGGCACTATCGTCTTAAGGTAGATGCTGATGCTTGAAGATGGGGGTCAGAAAAGGATGTGGGATGGAATGCTTACTCACCCACTGTCAGGTGATACCACCACGGGTTTTCAGGAATCTCAAATGTGTTTGTGGGTGTCTTGGGTTATCTTACTTCTGGGACACCTTTAAAGAGGAAGTGCTCTATCAAGCTCTTTGAAAGTTACACTTTTCGGGAGTTGCAGTGCACCCAAATATCTGTGCCCAAAATCACCATCCCTTTTGGAATATGTTGGCTTGAATTTTACAGTTTTCTAAAGCTGAATAACGGGATTTTTGAGTGAGGTGTGCTGTTTTGGGAATGAAGGACATCTCTGCCTTTTGCTTAAGGGATGGAAATTCTGCTCTGGGAAGACATTTGGGCATAGCATGCAGCTGATTGTTTGACACTAGATAGCATTCTGTTTACTAAAGCACCTTAACAGATGGAGCAGAAACACATCAATTCTTTTCTAATACTTACATTGCATAAAAGTTTCTCTGAACTTACTGTGATTTTTCAGATTTGGCCAAATTGCATAATATGCAACACCATATTTTTTTTCTTGAATTTTATATTCTATTAAGTAATTATATCAGTATCTTCCAACTTAAATTACATATTAAATCTGGACTAGCTTGATTTGGGAACAAATAAGTTTAAATCTGCATTGTTTTTAATAATAGGAAAATAAGTGGTTGATTTCTGTTCCTTTCAGCTTATTAGTGCAGCATTTCAATTGGTCATTGCAGAAAACCAGTCTTATTTAATACTTAAGTCTGAAATTGATGATATATCCTCACTTAATGCTTTCTCGCCGTGACATTTTAAACTTGTGTGTGAACCTATCATAAGTGTTTCTTTTGTGACATTAATGTACAACAAGTACAACAGGAAGGAAATAATCAGGAAAGTTGGCTTTTAAAAAAGCAACTGAATCTATGGTTTCTTTCAGTCATTTTCTGTAAGTTAAGTAGACATTCTGTGAATGGCTTCTATATGCATATGGCTCTGCAAGTAAAATAAACAGTTTGATCCCTAAACCAAGATATTCCAAACAAAACATTCCAGCAACAGAAGATGGGTTAACGTCACATGGATTTTCTTAGTCAAGTAAAGATGCTCTTAGATCTGTTAGTTATCCTGGTGTTTATTTATTCCAAACAAAGAATACTCTATGGTAAACCATGTTGCTTCAACTTTTAATAAAAATTTCTGAATTGCATTTTTTGGAGGGAAAAAAATCCCCGCCTGCACTACTGTTTTGAGCAATGTGATGGAAAAAATATTTTCAAATCAATAATATCTCTTTGTTCATGCCTTTTCAATACAACCCCTTTTTCTAAAATTCTATGTGCTTGCTACTGTATAAACCAAACTGAGACTAAAAGACTGAATACTCCTATTAATGCAGCTGTCGTCTCCTAGTACTTACAATGAGGAGAATCAGATATAAATACTAGAGATTAATGTCTCAGAGTATATTTATGAGAAGAATTATTATGGTGCTGAAGGGCTTCATTATTTTAATCTCTTACAATATTTTTTCTAACATAGGATGAATTAAAATCTGACTAACAATAAAACCTCATACTCCTGGAAGACTAGGATTTTTTTTTCAACCACGTATTCTGTTATGTTTCCCTGAATATAGTTGACAAACTAGAGGAAACAAGCAGATTTAGGTATGCTGTCAAATCTCAGGTTACCTCCTGGAGAGAGGAAAAAACCAGAGATTAATGTTTAAAGCAGAACCTTGTTTCCAGGGGACATCAGCTGTGAATTTACTCTTTCCAGGTAAGAAACCGGGGTGATGAGTGTAAACCAATGTAGCAACCTGTATTTTTGGATTTTGACTGGAAATGGCAATACTGAGAATTTGCTTTCTTATTGTATTGCAGCAGCTGTCCTTAGAGTGAAAAATTCTCCCCAGACTATATATCCAGGTGTCTTAATTTTTATACTACAGTACATAGTACTCTGTACAGTAATTTACAGAGGATGTATGTTTGGCTTTTGATGTAGTTTTATCAAAATCCTCCATAATTATCACTTTGTATTTTTCTTCATTTTAATTAAATATGTAGTTGGAATACTCGTCTGCCCTTTAATGCTTTATAATCCTTAAAATCTAACCAACTTGCTTACATTTTCTGTCCAGTACTTTGCATGCTGATCCATTTACACTATATTATAGCACACAGGAGTACAGGTACAGAGGTGGACCAAAGTTAAGTTCCCATGTACCCATTATTCTTGCGTGTCCTAATTTTTGAAAACTTGTCTTGCAACCTCATCTTAAAGTGCTTTTATCTGTAATTCCTTAAATGATTTAAAAGTATATACCAATTTCAGTATATAGCATCTTACCATTATTCTCAGGGCTGATAGCTGAATTGGGAGTTAACTGTTGATGTCCACAAGGCTCACTGTGCCGAGCTGTCCTACTGGAGCTAACAGAGTAACTCGGACCAGGAGTGGATGCGGTCTGTCATGCAGGCTTGGGAAAAGAGGGGAAGAAGGGGATGCTACTGGTGAGTTTGGTAGCTGTTGGAGATTGAGAGTTAGTAATACTGTGCTCAGTTCTAGGCTGGAAGGAACTGTGATCTGGATATCTCTTCTAAGGTTCTGTGGTTTGGGTTTTTTTTTTTTTTTTCCTTTCAGTTTTCCAATATTTTAAGGCAAAAAGAAAAGCAATATTCTGGTCGAGCCTATTGTTCTGGTCCAGTGCTATTTAGCTGTCAGTGACACATCAAGTTTCTTGTATTTATTTCCCCTTCTCTCCCACATATGTACTTGCACTTCCATCTCTAATTCTTTTCTAGGGAAGAGTTAAAATCACGATGTGTTTGATGTGACAATGTAACTTACAGCAAAATTAAGAAATGTAGTTCTAAGTGTAAAGAGAATAAAATTATGTTGATCGCATACTAAAAGTGGACTGTTGACAGCTCGTTACAGGTAAATTCAACTCTTGCAGTTGTTTGTGAAGATTAATACGCTGTGATTTACGCTACGTTATTTGTTTTTACTAATTCTAAAAATGGCCCTTTTCACTTGTGTAAATCCTCCTTGGTAGTAGCACAACAAGTAATAAGTAATATGATAAATCTCTTCGCTTCATCTCAGATGAGAGATAATTGCTGATCAGCATACCCTTGGGTTGGCTTGCTTACAGGAGATTTGAGTACTGTCTACTGGATGCCGTTCAAAAGTTTTGTCAAATTTTAATATCCTTTCATCTTAATACTTTGTCTGTGTTTGTGGTCTCAGTGCCTCCACTGAGGCACTGAGATCCCCTCGTACATTTACTGTGAAGAACTGGCTCTGATTTGAGGCACTCTGTAGCTCTTCTGACTGTCAAAGGGAAGCAAGAAAATGTAGAGTCAGTGACGGTTTGTTTGGTGGGGTTTTGGGTGTTTTGGTTTTTTTTCTTCTTGAAAGTTGCATTGTATTTAAGGGGAATGTTTACTGTATTAGGGAGATAGGTGAATTTACAGGGAAATGTTCCTCCTTCTGTAATACTTGCTCATGAGAACCGCTGCTTTCAACAATACCTAGCAAAAGGCATGAAAGATGTTTCACTGTAAGTTCCAAAGGGACTTAGGAAATACTTGAATACTCGTAATGCACAATAACTTGACAGGCAAAAGCGAATTCCGTAATAGTGTACTAGGTGTTTAATGCCACTGACCAAACTCGGAGATCTCCGATGTCTGAATGTCATTGCTTAGTTGTGTTTTTTGACTTGTTGCATCCATGTTATGTCTAAGCTCAGTGAGAATTGTACAGGCCTATGGAGTCTGACCAGTGCCTTGTTGACTTTAGAAGGACTTCATTACAGATACTTGACTTGTCTAC